GTCTGTTTAAAAGTCGTTTGACGTTTAATCGAGTGGCTTTTTGATGGGCTCACCACTTGTGACCCGTTTTTTGTTCTTCTTTTAAGTTCCTTTATCATTAAAAGAGTTTCTATAAGTTTGACAACGTTACTATAGTATCTCAAAACATAGAGTCACATAATACAACAGAATCGCAGCAGTGAAGTTGAATTCTGTAAACAAAGAAGTTGTGGAAAAACTCGCTCATTTTATGAAGGAAGAGATAATTCAGCAACCTGTGGAACTGTAGAGGATTTTAAATTTTGGAAGAGTTTAGTTGGTTTCAGATCAAAAATGGATAGAACTAGCAGCTATAAAGTGTAGCAAGGACTTGCACTATTAAGTTTTAGCTTACAACTTCACTAATTCTATCACATTTTAATGTGTCTTGTCTTGCCTTCTAGTCTTTTCGTTATTCACTATGTTTTCCTTACTCGTGTTCATCTCAGTTGGGAAGTAAGGAATTAAAGATGATGCAAGGGTTAACTGAGGCCTATGAGCAGCAGGGGAGCAGTGGAACGATTTTTTTCTATTGGTTGAGAATGCGTACTTTCCAACTGATGATCTATTTGTAGCTTCGTTTCGTTTTTCGCTTTATCTTCAGGTCCTCAGTAATTGTGTTCTGTTGTTGGCAGAATTGAATTATTCTTCGATATGTAATTTTTGACTATATTAAATAGTTTACTTAAGTAAATGTCAGGTGGGAAGTTTTCAGCCATTACGTTGTGCACACTTTGGTTCAGAATTCGTAGAACTTTGTAGGATGGACGCTGGATTGGTGATTGAGTTTTTCAACCTAATTCCTCTTTTCCCGAAATTGCGTCTGGAAGATCGGGTAGGTGGATTTTCAAGTTTTTTCGGTTTCACTGAAACTTCTCATCATAGTTGGTTTCCTTTGCATTCTTGATTCGTATACAATTGCGTTTCTTTCTACATTCTCCGAACGACCGTCTTGATTCCTGGTGTTTATAGTTGCTTTGTTGCAGATAATGCTGGTCAAAAATGCGGGTGTCCCGTATTCTTTGATGGAGAAGTTTTATGTTACAATGCGCGGAGGAGGATTTCAAACACACCGAATCATTAACAACGATAATACGTACTATGATCTTGCTTCAGACGATGAGGATTTTATGAGGGCGGATACTTTGTCTCGGTCTGAAGATCTAGTAGCAACGTCGAAGGTTATGAAGGCTGATGTGTGTACAGCTAAAAGGTTGTTACTTTTTACTTTCCTGGTTGATTAGGCCTTCCACGAGCTAATTTCACGGCTCTTTGTGATTCAGATTGTTTGTACCTCAAATGCGCGATTTTATGAGAGATATTGCTGGGGCGATGTACTATTCTGGGATGACGGATGTTGAATTTGTGGCCTTGACTGTCATTGTGCTTATGGACCATAGTGCGTAGTTTGGCTTTTTTCAACAGGTCGTTTGATGTGCTTTGCATTTTCCATGTCATTGTAATTCGAAGTTTTAGCGGCTCCAAATTTGAGTGACTTGGCGAAGAAGTTGGTAAAAGAAGCGAGGGATCATTTGTATTTAGACTGGTTCGCATATTATGAAGCACATAATATTAGTGATGGTTCAATGAGAGTCGGGAACGCGTTACTCCTTCTACCAGCCATTTATGTAGGATTTAACTTCTGAACGGGGCAGTCTCTGTATTTTTAAGTTTTATGATTACGTTGGATAAGTGTTTTCAGGTGTGCAGCAAGAAGCAGTTAGAGAATTACCACTTAGTTCGCTTTTTTAATCTATTTGAGCTAACGAGTCTGGTCGACGACGTCATGAAGTAACTTAGTAAAACAATTTTGGTTTGTATACTTTGAAGAAAACCAACAAGTGTCTGTATTTGGGGGCACTAATATAGCTCCAATTTGCTGCCTACTTACATTGGTTGTTCTATTTTTGCCATTAACTTTGTTTTTGACATATCTAACGGTCTTCATATTAGTTGTTTGTTTGTGTTTTCTAGTTTTATTTATAAGTGATCCTTGTCTCAATTGGGTGGCACAATGTAGCTGCTGTTTTCTTTAAAATATTAGCCGAACTGCATCTGATATTTCGAAGTGCTCAGTATACCATTTAATTCTTCTTACCTTTTATAGGTAATGCCATAAAGTGTTGGTTTTAAGAAGGTAGGTGGGGAGGTCGGGTTTATTGGTTAACGGTTAGAATAAGTCTCTTTTGTTTTTGAGATTTATCATGTAAAGATTTGAGTTTCAGTAAAGTATTGAACTCATTATCATTAGGGGATTTATCATTTAATTTTTTTTCATTTGTGATTTTTTTTCATCTGTGATATAATCTTTTTTGGTTTTTGTTTCGATTGATTGAACGTTTACCTCTTCACGAGCATATAACTCAAAAAAGTTTGTGTTTTTACTTTCTGAACGTAATGCGGGATTTGTGTCTTATTTATGCTTTGAAGCATCTTTAATGTGTGAGTATTTCTTAACTTCTGTTTCTTTATACTAGGGTCTCAGTTAGAAGTTGTATGTATAAGTTTGGAAGTTAAAATCTTCCGTCGTTGCGTTCACGAAGCCATTGTAGGATTAGTTAGAACAGTGATTGTAAAGTCCGACATAGGTAGGATGCGAGAGTTGTGATAGTCATTTTGCAAATCGATTTTACATAGTAATTATGAAAGAGATGGTCTAACAAATTTCGTTTTGTAATTTAAAAAAAGTTTTTTTT